GTGAAGTTATATTCCGAAAGAATAAACCAGTTTTATTAAGTAAGGACTTGTGTCGCTAAAGTTTCGTCGGAACGAAGTTACGGAAAATTAATCAACAAACGGAGACGTAACAGTATGTTTTGATGCAAATCATGACAAAGGTAAATGTTGAAACACCAAATTCCAAAAAAAAAAAGGATTTAATATTCCAAAGTTGTATTGTTTATAATTTTTAAATGAAACTTCACTAGTCCTTAGCTCTCTTTTACATTAAAAAGTATAAGATAAGTAAGTTAAAGTGTGGAAATTCTGTACACACCTTCAGTTTTTCAGCACAAAATTATAGCAACAAGTTGTCAAGAATCTCCAAACTAAGCTGAGAAAACCTCAAACAGAAATACTCTCTCTCAATATATATATATCAGCAATTCACCAAATTGACAAAAAATTCACAAATAATATTTGAACCAACTTACCCGGGTATTATCAAACTTGTATTCTTTTCCTATTCGTGGTAATACGGGTCTGACAGATTTATCAATAAAACTGTTCAACCACAGAGCAAAGTATGGTGCATTCATAGTAGGGATTCTGTAACCTAGTTGAGGAAATCAGTTATATTTTGCATTTTATTCCTAGCAAATAATATATCTTACTTTTGAATATAATTTCTTGTAAGACAAAAAAAAGGGGAAATTATCAGAAGTTCCATTTTTTTTATGTTGGCATGATTATTTGTTTTAAAAGAAATTCTAGCAACTTTTAATTAAGAGAGAGAAAAAAAAAAACAGGTGAAGCATATGAAATTAACTGAGCAAAGACTATTGTTTTTGTATACAATTTCAAATCAAACATAATAAATTGACAAGTGGTAATAATAATAATTAGGCTTTTATATTATACACTAACGATTTACAATAAACATAGAGTTGAGCTGTTGGTAGTTACAATTTTAGGCAAGCAAAGAATTGAATTACGAGGGCAAAAGTGAGCGTTATATGGTCAAATTGCAAAACATATTAAACCACTGTAGAAATTATGCCACTCTCACTTTTTATCAACACTGACAAATTATTCAATATCGTTTTTGATTATTTTTTTAATTTTACACGCACCCTTTCTGTTAATAATGGTAACTTTTTATTATATCCAGATCAAATACTTAGCATTAACACTTTAACTTCAATCATTTAGAATACCTCAACCTACTATAGTAAACTGAAATATCAATTAGAAATAAAAATAATCAAGGTAAAAGAATTTTTCAAAAATTTCTGATTTTATACATTTGTAACCAGTAAAATCTTTTACTGTTTTGATATAAGAATTTCCTGTGGGTCATGTAATTTCCAATTTTGTAACATTAAGATATCATGAGTTTGATTTCATTTGACTTAATATTGTAACATTGTACAATATGCTCCTTCTGCATAAATCAAAATCTTTGTTATGTAACATTGATATATTATGAAGTACAATATCATTTCATGCATTATTGAAAATTTGAATACATCTTAAATCTTGCTACTACAATAAGTCTGAAAAATCATACTATCTAACCAATTTACAACTATACTAATTTTATTAAATGCACAGAATATGTATATGTATATATACAAGTAAAATAAAAAAAATTAATTTTATAAAGACAAGTAGGGATCAATATATATATGTGTAACCTAGGTAGCTACAGTAATATAGAAAGTTTTAATGTCACACAAAATATTAAAACAAGAAAGTCAAAGCTATAAAACTGAGTTACTTAAAATTTAAAATATTTTATCCTTACTTTTGCAAATCACTGTAATCATGTTAGTCTTAGCCAAAATAAGGAAAATATTTTTTATATTTTAAGTAACTCAGTTTTGTTGTTTTGACTTTCTTGTTTCAATACTTTTGTACCATTAAAACTTTATATATTAACATAATTAGCTATGTTATGTATACATCAATCCCTACTTGACTTTATAAAATAAAATAATTTTTTACAGTACGTTTGTTTCCTTTTTATCAACTATATTTTTCTGTGTCATATATCCAATTCAATTTTACTACTCATCACGATCTCTAACAACCTACCCTCAAGTCTAATTATATTCCCAAAGTAGTGCATCATCTGTTTTACATATATATTCCTTTTTGGTACAAGAAAGGAATCATTGAGACCACAGACAAAAGAGTTCTGTGAAAAAATTAGAGTGACAAGGTTCACTTAGATTAAAATTTGTTGAAACAGTGAAATTTTGATTCACTCCATAAACTCATATATAATGATTCAGGCAGCTTTATAAGTACGATAAGCTTTAGTTTTGCTCAATCAATACTGTGAAATAGTTATTGTTAATATTCATACATTTTAAAGGTGATTTTTTTTTAGGCCACCACTTTGTTTCACCATGATCACTACTATTAAGTACTGCCATA